ATCAAGATGTGTGTTTTAAACTGGATTCGTAGACTGTTTTTTGAAGGATGGGCTATAAACAGATGATCTTCATATCTTTTCATAGCATGTAATAATAATAAAAAAACAATATTAATTACTAGGGGAAAGGAGTGTTCGTTCTACCCAGGGTACCACAGTTCCCCACAGTCAAAACCCAAAAGCAAGGAGATGAGTTGAAAGACAGTTTTTCTTTAAGTCATCAGTATGGGATGTCAGCAGAACAAAAATTAAAAAGATTAATTTTCCTTTTGATCTAAAACTTCCTTAGTTTGAGCAGTAGGTGCTACGAAATTATTTACATATCTTAGTATCATAGTTAAATGTAATGTGTTTAGGAGAGGAAAACAAAAGATACATTTGCTTTAAATTCATTAAGGAATTTTCAAATTCACTTTGTAGCCCATGCTGATAGAATTGGGCTGTGTTGGTACATTTGAAACACTGTTTATGTTGCTTGAAACACTTATTTATTTAATCGCCGATGTGATGATGCCTATGGCCGAGATCAAATATAGCTAGATTGGCTAGACTACTTATTTGTTTACTTAAACTGTGGGAAGAAGCATATTATTGTGTCATTCTGTTGTGTGTGTATGTGTATATACAATATAAATATATATATATAAAGTTATTTTTTCTTTGGGTTAATTTATTATAAGTTGTAACACTTGGCTAGTTTTGTTTGTATATGTCTTAAAATGTTTTCTTATGATATTTAAGTGACAGTTAAAGAGGTATCAAGGTAACTTGTGTAGAACTATTGTTTGATATATTGTCATGTTTGTTGTGAATATTTTTTCTTACTGCACAGTAGAAAAATAAAAACAACTGGGTCTTTATTTTAATGTAATTCAGATTGGGGAAAACAAAACAGAGCTAAGGGAACAAAATGACTGAGGGAGCACTCTCCCACGTCCAGTGCACTGATCATTTTAGTACGTTTGTGCTTTGTACGGTTATATATTTAAAACAAAAACAAAACAAAAAAAAATACAAGGGTTCATGCTCTTCCCTGGGTAATAGAAACAGTTGCTCGCTATGCATAATCTAGTTGATAGTTAAATTTGCTATTGCTTTTCTTGTCTTGTTATATAAAATCTTTTCAATACAAGTTTAGTCTTAATGGTAATAAAACGTTATGGTTATTTATAACTTGTGCTTATTTTGTGCATTTTTTCCCATGCTGAACCCACTAAGTGCATGTAGACAGGACTGTTGTTTTCACACTGAAAAGGCAAACTTTGTAGTAGTCGTCGTAGTGGTAGACAGATAATGAATACCAAGGCTGCATCATAGATTCCTCCTTTAAATTTTTTTTCTGTTTTTTTTTCCTCTTTTTGGTTTTAGAAATAACACCAGATTTCAGTTCAGAGAACACTCGTTCAACATTCAGGGAAATCTTTTACGTCACCTGCTATGAATGAATGCAGTTTGCTGGCAAAGTTTTGATGCATTTGCTAAGCATTAGTGGGAAAGGCATGCCAAAATCTCTTCTCTATAATGTGTTCAATCTTGGGGGGAAAAAAAAAGGAAAAAAAATCTTAGGACCAGGCAGTTGTATACTTTAGTTATAATGAATGACTTCATGTTAATCTCACTAGTTTAGATGATTTCTGAGGGAAAGTATTGTAAATGTTTTTTTTTCCATAATCTTGTTGTGTTTGAATTATTTGTATTTTATCTGTCCAGACAATAAATGAAAGTGTGTAGAATGGATTTGAGCTTCCCAAATTTTTAAATGTGTTCATTCAAACCTTTTTTCTATAGCATCTTCAGATTTCCCCAGTATTTTTATCACTAAATCAGAAAAAAAGAAAAAGGTAGAGTAAAATTCTGTTTTGCAGTTTACGTCAGTGTCTCAAAGTCACCTCGGTATTCAGAAGTCATTGCTCTGGTTCCATGCTACTAACAGTGTGGTCCCCAGCTGGCAGTATCAGCATCATCTGGGAGTTGGTTAGAAATGCAAAATCTCAGGCTGAATGCCAATCTCTATCTAACAAGATCCCTGTGAATCACTGGTACTCTAAAGTTTGAGGAGCACTGCCCTGGCCGATAAGCCAGAACACTTGGCTTTGCGTTTGGTATTATAACACGTTAGTGTCTGTTGTGCATTTATAAGAATACTTGTGACTTGTTCAGAAGACAGGGAGTCACTATTTCCCAAGCTTCTATGATGTAGCAGGCAGGCTGTACAGTGTCCTCTACATTCCCTCACCTTATCTTCTCAGCAGTCTGAGAGAAATAGATCGCATCTTTCTCATTTCACAGATGACAAGACTGATGAGGCTCAATGAGATTAGCAGCTTGATGCAGCCAGCAAGCTCCCAGCTGAGCTTTGAATCGCGTCTGATTCTGCTGCATGGCACCTCAGCATTGAGATTGTAGAATTTTTTTGAGCAATATTAAGGAAGAAGACCATTTGTATTGAAAGTGACAACTAAACAAGAAGGTCATTTTTACATTTTAGCATTCATTTTTGTTTAGAAGTAGCAAATATTTGGCTTTTTTTACCTTTGGATAGAAACCCTAAACAAGGACTTTTTCATACAGTGTATTAAGAACATGATTTAAGCTCAACCTAGGGAGAAAAAATCTGCCTACACTATCATGAAGTCACATTAAAATATGCCCTGAACTTTACAGATTAGCTTTTTAGTGATTTTCTGATACAATCACTCGTCGATGATCTACTGTCTGTCTTTCATTTTCACTTTCTCACTAATTGAAAATTCATACATACCCTATAAAACATCACCATAAACTGACACTTCAAGAAGAAATGCCCCCACTGAGCCAGAGGAACGAATGGTTAGATTCTCTTCCATTTCTCATTAACCCCTTTATTATTATTATATTAAGTTACCACATTGATAGGGATAATTAAATTCAAGGCAAAGAATGGGATTTAATTAACCAAGCTAAATATTAAACCTGTAAGTCAGCCTGAACCTCCCATCGTTGAATGTAAAGGTTCTCATTTTAGTTTTATCTTAAAGACAAGCCCCTATGTTTCTTTTCTGGAGAAAAATGGGCATTCAAATGAATGGTTTCCCCCAGGGATATCACAGCTTCACAAACATGTTTGTAGAGTCTAAAAATGTTGCTGCCAAACCTATGATAGTTACCAGTCATCACCACCCCTGCACCTTAAAGGTGTCATTTTAGTGTACTTTAAATGGATAGCTGCACTATTTTGAAATATTGGAAGTTGGTGGAATCTTACCAGTTCATATAGTTCATTCCCAGCCTCCAACAGATCTATCCTGAAAGTTTCACAAATAGATGTAAGTCTTTAAATAGGTCTTGAAAATATCCAATGAAGGACATTCTACATATGCTCTCTTGGAAACACTTCTCAACATCAGCGCAATGAGTCTACCCAAAATCTAATAAAAAATTCATCTCGCTGTGAGTATAAGCCTGTTACCTTAAATCTCCAGGCAAACACAGTTTCTGTAGGTGTTTGTGGGAAAGGTCTAACAAATCACAAGATGTAGAGATTATTAAATATTGTTGAGGTCCTAGGTCTGTTGTATTTTGCTTGAATGAAAAATTGCACGTCATAAAAGGCTGATAGCATTTATTTAGTGTTATTTCTGTTAACATGATAGGAAGGGAAAAGTGCAAAAAAAATGTGCTCCGTCTATAACTATCCCACGTCATCGCCACCAGCACCACAACTTGACTTCTCCTGTTACTGAAGATCAAACACTGACCAAATGTTGGTAACAGCCAGAAATTTTTATCAACTAGGTTTCTATTTAAATTTCTTTCATCAAGGGCAATCACCATTTGTTCATTTGTAAATAAAACATTTAACCCCCAAAGAATAATGTGTAAAAGTATATT